ATGGGAAAGGTCTCAGGAGTCTGTGGAACTCACTGCTGCAGGAGCTTGGTAACTCCGGGCACGGTCTAGACGCTGAGACGGCTCTTCCCTGCAGCCCCATCACACGGAGCGGCGGGGCCCTGCTGGCCCCCGAGTCCCCTATCAGCCAGGCTAGGCAGGGAGGGCTCCTGGGGCTGGGGACACCGGAGTGGGAGCCGGGCGGCAGCTGCGTGGCTGTGGGGTGGAGTGTGGAGCTGTCTCGAGGCTTTGTGCCCCGCAGGTCAGCGCCCTGTGCCTGTACCCTGAGCTGCTGAGCGAACCCCTCTTCCCCGACGACGCCAAGCAGCGAGCACGCAGACTGCTGGCAGCATGCGGAGGGCAGAGCGTTGGTGAGTACCCCCCCGGGAACCCAGCCTGCTGCCCCCACCCCAGAAACCCAGCCTGCCGCCCCCCCCGGGAACCCAACCTGCTGCCCGCTGCCCCCCCAGCCCAGTGTGCTGCCTGCCCCCCGGAGCCCAATGTGCTGCCCACCCTCCCCCCAGCCCAGCGTGCAGCCTGCCCCCCCAATATGCTGCTCACCCGCCCCAGGCTTGGGGCGCTGCCCACCCCCCGAGGCCCAGGGATCTGCCAGGCCCCCACCCAGTCACAGCAGAGTCCCACGTGACCCATAGGACACCTGCAGGGGGGTGTCTAGAGCCACATGGGACGTCTGCTTGGCTAAGGGCCAGGGCCTGGCCACTCCGGGCGCACAGTGCCCACAGGCCAGGGCTGGCACGGCCTGGTAGCCTTGCTGTTGCCCTCTAGGGCGTCACATACAGAAGAGCAGGACCCTGGAATGTGTTAAAATCTGTGTAATCTACTCGGTGGCTTCTGGGGGAGATGAGTTTGGGGGGGCTCTGACTGATACCCCAAATCCCCTGTCCCCCAGAGGGGCCCCTCCAGGGTGGATGGGGTGTACAGGAGAAGCTGTTGCTGTTCCCTGCATGGCCAACAGCGTCTCTCCAACCGGGAGCACTAACCTCCCGATGCAGCCCCCCAGCCAGGCCCTGACGGCAGTACCCCCCGGAGCCTCCTCTGCTCACCAGCATCCCCCAGCGGCTGCTACCCCAGCCCCTAGCTCGGTCTGTCCCCCACAGGTGCCTACACGGCCAGCCACGGCATCGAGATCATCCGCCAGGACGTGGCCCGGTACATCGAGCGGCGGGACGGGGGCATCCCCGCCAACCCGGACAACATCTACCTGTCTACGGGTGCCAGTGACGCTGTCATGGTACGGTGTCCTGTCTTCCCCCCAGCAACGGGCACACGTGGGGGGCTGCAGGCTGGGACTGGGGGGCATCAATAGAGCTGGGCTGGGGGGCGGGGCCCAGGACTGTGGGTTGGGAGTGAGGGGCACCAGCAGAGCTGTGGTGGGGGGAGCCCGGGGCTGGGGTAGCAGGGGCTGCGGGTCAGGACTGAGGGGCATTGGCAGAGCTGGGGGGAGCCCAGGGCTGGGAGAGCAGGGGGCTGCGGGTCGGGAGTGAGGGGCACTGGCAGAGCTGGGGGAGGACTCTGGTCCCACTCGGATCTTTACTCTCTCCCGTTCCGGAGCTCTCGGTGCCCCCGTGCCCGGGGAAGAGTTGGCCTCGTGCTCTGCTGCCTGGTTGCTGATGCCCCTGGAGCTCGCAGGACCCTTCCCCCCGAGCCCCATCCCCCCCGCCCTGGGCCCCCCGTTGGCTCTACCCTCAGTGCAGTGCCCAGTGGGCTGGGACCCAGCTCTCAGGCCAGCGTTGCCTGGGCGCTCGGGCAGCCTCACAAAGGGCCCTTTGTGCCATGCTTGGCACAGCCCTGGCAGAGTGGCAGCCACGGGCCTGCTGGGAACTCACAGGCTGGGATGGGGGGGGGGGGAGTGACAGAGGGGGGCAAGGGGGGATGGGGAGGCTGCCTCCAGGTAACCTCTGCGAGGGGCAATGAGAGGCAGGCGCCTGACCCTGCCCTGCACCCCTGTCCCCGGGGGGCGGGGGTGTGTGTGCTCCAGGGGTGTGTGGTCCAGTGGGCACTGCCCAGAGCATCAATGGCCCTTTGGTTGCAGCCCCCAGGGCCCTGCTGCTCCTTGGGGGGAGCCCTGACCCAGACCCATTGCCACACCCTTGTGCCCCTCTGCCCCCTGCACTGCAGTCCCGGAGGGCCCTGGTCCCTGCCCACCCCGCGCTGCCCCTGCCCATCCCTCGCTCTCTCCCCAGACCATGCTGAAGCTGCTGGTGTCGGGGGAGGGCCGGTCGCGGACGGGCGTGATGATCCCCATCCCCCAGTACCCGCTCTACTCGGCTGGCATCGCCGAGCTGAACGCCGTGCAGGTCAACTACTACCTGGACGAGGAGCACTGCTGGGCGCTGGACGTCGGGGAGCTG